GAACTTGTGTCTTTGCTAGCATTTGTAAAGGCCTTCCAGGATTTTTATAATTGATTGAGACTTCTCCTTCAGTTAACTTTTTTTTGTACCCATCATATTTTTCACCCACCAGAGTGAATTTTGGTGACTAGTTGCAGTTAGTTGCTGTTGCACGCTTATTACCCCCTTCTCCAGAAGTATCTTTTCGGCTTTTCAACTCATGTGAACTTGTGCAAAGCAATGTGCTGACTTTTCTCTCCTCCAAAGTCACAGATATAACACTTAAAGAATATTGAGTCTGTAGGAAAGAAAAAACTGAATGAATATGAAAAGAATTGAAAATAAATACTTAAAATTCTGTTTGCACAGGAAGTCGTGTAAATGTTCTTTTTCGTTTTTTCATTCTATGGAATGAAGAAAAAGTGACAAGCTATTCTGCAGTAAATATCCTAGAATCCTTTGTATGTCTTTCATGGGAGTTTTAATTTTGCTTTTTGTCCTAAACGTCTCAATATTGCGCTTCTCTTGTGCATGAAACTTGAAGGGTGCAACTGTTGTTCTGAAACATTGTTACTCAGATTTAGCTGCAAAAGGTCATGGTAGCACAACTGGGATTCTTGGGTTGCCTCCTTGTCACAAATGAAAACATTTTCTCCAGCAATTTATTGTGTGAACTCCAGGCTAGTAGCTCTCTGGCACTGCCTTTGATTCATAGTATTGAAATATAATTTTTCTAGAAAGTTTTTTATATTTCTTAACCGGTGTGGGGGGGGGTTGTCTTTCTAGTCGATAGCCTGTTTTCTGGCAGATTTGGGAGGAAAAAGATAGGTATTTTCTTTTGGTTGAAGTGGGGGATAGAAGTTTGATGATTTCTGTTGTAAGACTATGAAGTATTCACTTTTATTTTCAAGAGTTCTTGTTGAGTGTGTTCCTGTTCTTTTCTTGGGCTACGTTATCAAGCCACCACAGTACACGTTGTGAAGCATTAACGTTTTGTTTTCTGTATCATGATCTTTTGCAAAGACTTGAAGGTGCATTTTAATTGTTGTCTGGTACATTGGCTGACTCATCCTACTTGTATCAACATCATATCATATTAGTTGTCCTCGTTGTCTTTTTTTTCCTTTCCTTATGCTCCATTCACCCACTCATCCCCTTTGTTTTGTATTTATTGCATTTGACATTTTATTTAGTTGGTTTCTAATTGCCAAAGACTTTTTACATTGGCTGTCATTTCCTGTTGGCGGCACTAACAGCTGGGGTATTTTAGTCTTATTGTTGGTAGTTATCCAATGTTTTTATTTTTCAAATGGGGGGGGGGGGGGGGGGGGGGGGGCAAAAGTAGTTGGAACAGAGATGTCTTAAAAATGTTTTTCCGTGAAAATATCTTTAAAAAGTCATTCGTTAACATGCCTAAAGTTTTCTGATAAGAGTAGCAGCAAGTGATCATAAAATTTTTTTATAAAGTTGAGCTCTGCACAAATTGAGAAATGCGAGCGTTTCCGGGAACAAATTAAATAACAACCTGGGGAGATTGGTTATGTTGTATTGTGTAGTGTATGAGCATCAGTGAATTGAGGTAAGTCCTTTGCACACAGTCGTACTCTGATGTGTCGCTCTGTCTGGTTACATTGACATGGCATCATGCACATTGACCATACCATTGGGGCTGCTGGACACTCCACCTTTCTTGTCTCTACTACTGGGCAAACATTCACTCTGCTATAGTATAGAATACTACCCTGAACTTGTTATATAGGAAGGACATGATAAAGCATTTAATGTGCTTAGGGCATTCCCTATCTTAGAAGCTTATCTCCACAAACAAAAAAGTTTATTATTACTATAATGTAACTTTTTATCGCTTTGTAGTGACGCTACTTCAGAGCTTGTTGTTAGGCTGGAAATTTGTCTATGAGGGTTTAATTTCTCTTTGGAAATGTATTTTACCAATGTTCTGGGCATTGTGGGTTTTGCTCCCACGAAGTATTTGCATGCATATTTGAGGGTCTCATAGGTATAGTTTGTAACCCAACTTTCACATTGATAATTTAGTTGTATAAATGAACATGGCACAAAACTTATTTTCTAGGTCTTTTTTTTTTTTCCTCAACTTTGTCAAAGAAATGTAGGATGACCATCAAATCATATAGGGTTGATCTCTTGTTTTTCCGATTAATGCTAAAGACGGTTTCTCACATCTTCACTAAAACCTGGTACGCCTTCATGATTTTTTTGGTTTTTTTTTTTGCATCGCAGTAGATGTTATTTTTTCCCTCCCTATGTACATGTCATAGGTAGTAGTACTTGTACATCCAGAAATAATACTATGTCATATATTGTGATGTTTTCCCCAATGCTGTGTGCTCTTGAGGTATAAAGGGTCGCTCTCTGTTTTTAGCTTTCATTTCGGTCTATGTGTTTGCTATCTGCCTTGTGAAATTTTGTATCTCTATTCTTTTATAACCTGTGAAGAACACCTATATTTCTTTTGAAAGAATCTACATTTTTTGCCTCATTTGGTGATGCCTAACGTTTAACTATCACTTTGACTTATCACTATTTCATTTGTTTTTGTCACATCCTAATTGTGTGGTTGCCTGGATGGTGGGAGTGAGATGTGTGATTAGGGATATGTGTGTGTCTAGGCGTGCACTCATGCAATATGGGCTTGGGTTGATGTTGTTCGAATGGAGTGTGCATGTACGGTTGGCTGTGTGTTGTCTTATGATCTTAGTTAAAGAAGAGGTACAACTTTTTTATGGCAAGGAATTGTAATTAACCATGTATCGTTAAAAGATTATTAGCCTTTTATTGTTAAAGACTCGTACTTTTGTATATCATGTGATTAGTTGGTTCTGTCAGTTGAGTGACCAAGTGTGAAGCACTGGAAAATAACTTTGTACGTAAGAACTTCTCCCTCCCACATAAGTACTCATTTCTCTTTGTGATTTAAATTTGCCTCAGTTCCAACTTAAAGCTTGTGTGAGTGCTGGTTGCTTGGTATTATTCCCTCATTCCCCCCCCCCCTTCTTTCGGCTTTCAAACGACTCTGTGCAAGGGAGCTAGATTCTAGAGATCTAATAATGAGAATTTTAAAAACTATTTTGAATTTTGAGAGTTGCACACCTTTGACAGTGTCGGTCAAACAAAACATTTTCAAAACAAATGAAAAAAGGCCTAGGCCTATATATCTAGATCTAGATTCTAGATCTAGAACCGAAACCGAAAGTGTTTATATCTAGATTTTAGATCTAAACATTTTGCAGTCTGACGGACACACAGATCACAGACAAAACTTGACCAGACTACTGAGTGATCGAGTTGTCAGCAGGAACGGTTGCGATTGATTCCGATTGTTTCTGTTCAAGACATAGATTCTAGATGTACACTAGGCCTATACGCACGTTCAAGATCAAGGTAGGCCTATACGCCTTCTTATCTTCATACGACGTAGCAGGGTGAAGAGGGGGTCGATCTCTCACTCAGTCTCCCGCTCAGATGTTCTTGTAGACGAAAAATGAAGCAAATTCCCACAGCTCTAGATCTAGATCATGTATCCCGCTTGTTTTCATTGTTTAGGAGGCGCCGTGTTTTGACGTCCACTGCTGGGTTTTCCTCTCACCAATGTCAACTGAGGGTGTTGATGTCCAATTCTGTAAAGACCCTCAGTTCTTTTCAACTTCTGCATCAAAATGAGAGTAGCAACAAAAGTAAAAGGTCTGGCATTTTTGGAAGACAGTGCCAAATTAGAGATCCTGTCAACAGTGACATCCAACAGAATGAGACTAAGGAGGTTGACAGAGGTTGGTGTTGTAATGATGTGACTCTTTCAATGAAGAAGGTACAAGTCCTGTACCATTTCATTAGCAGCAGGAACATCCCAAGACTCTATGCCCATATCCATACTTTTTATGATTGTTTTAATAATATTCGTGTGGAGACAAATCTGTCTGTGGACTTTCATGCTCGTGGACTTGGTGTCAATAAGGAGTTAATCTCCCCTTCTGTTGATAGAAAACATCTAGATCTAGATCTTTGCCATGTTGATGGGTGTAATTATGTAATTGTCAAGAAACTGTGTTTTGGTAACGGGAGAAAACTTTCATGCCAAAATATTTTCAATGTTCGAGCCAGTCAGTCATTACTGTGTTTTCGATTTTGGACTATACGCCACATTTCTGGCAGCTTGAATAAAAATCATTTTTTTGTCAATCGGGCTTTTTCAAGTTCCAGCTCTGGGGACAAAAATGCAGTGTTCAATGATCTGATGAGCCTTGTCCAGCAGTCGGAGAAGTCTATGAAAGCTCCACAACTGAGTCCCAGAGTAAAGAATAAACAGCAAGCCTCATCCAAGTCCACTAAGTACATCAAACAAATGCTTCCACATCTAATTTCTCCACTTGACAATGACAGTGAAGCACCAGCATTTGAAAGTGTGGAAAAACATTTGATGTCTCTCATGGAGATGTGGGAGATGGAGAAAGCTGTACTAGCCTTGAGAGGAGCTGTGGAGGTTGGTGTGATTCCTGATCAGACTGTAGTTCTTGACCTGTTGCAACAACTGGCAAACCTTGGAGAGGTGAGAATTATTTCAAAAAGTTTTCAAAGTGAGAAACATATTCGCCCCTATCTCTTTCACATTTTGGTTTGAGCATGGATTATATATATATAAAAAATATAATATATACATTCTATTAATTCAGATCTTGTGTAGTCACAAAAATGGCAATGTTTGTATTACGTAAGTTGGATTTGTTCCATTACTTATCAAATTGATGACATTTATAAAATATAATGAGTTCTATTTTGGTCTTTCTTAGATGAAGACTTTTGATTTTGTATGAGAGTTCTGTTGAATCTTTTAATGTTTTAAAAATACAATTTGAATGATATCTTCAACCAATGAAATTTT